CTAATCTCGAGTATATCTCATGTGCATTAGAGAAGAAGGTATAGTCTCTGTCTTTCATATGCGTTATTCTCCAGGTATCCACTAGTTGACATTCATACATCACTTTCTTCAAAGCTCTCAGAGACCTACTCCCCTCTCTCTGCACAGAAGAGGTATTATCCCTTTGTGGATCCATCCATACAGAAATTTAGGTCTCCAGCTACTATCAAACGCCCTTTTTTGAATTCCATTAATTTTTTTTCAACAGACCCTTCATATACATCTCCGGGTTTTTATTAGGGCAGTATATGTTGGCTAAAGTACACTCTATCCCCTGAAGTCTACCTTTTAAGAATAAAAAACCTCCCCTCCGGGTCGGTTCTTCTATCCTCCAGCTCAAATCTCATATTCTTTGCCAAACCTATTGCAACCCCTTTTGCTCTTTTAATTGGAGAATCTGCATAGTACCATATTGGGTAGTGTTTGGATTTCAATTTCACGTTTGCCTCTATCTCAAAATGCGTCTCCTGTAAAAATACCACTGACGTCGCCCTATGATGTAACTCATTAAACAACCTAAATCTCTTCCCTGGACAACTCAGCCCGTTCACATTATAAGTTATAAACTGTATTTCTTCCATCTTTCCCAATTAACTCCATCTTTCTTCCAGATTGCCTCTTCCTCTTTGTCCCTTCTGTCATGCAGAGTATTAACCCAATACCTCCCCTCCCCTCCCTCCCACCCAACTCCCATCCCACCCCACTCCTCATCCCCCCCCCCCTCCCTCCCATTTTCCCAACCCACCCCCCCTTCCTCCCCCTCCCCTCTTTTTAGGCCTATTGATTGCCTACCGATCATTTGTGGTAATACTATCCACTTTTGATTTAATCTATGGGGAAAAAAAAAAAACTCCAGCCATGGACAGCTTTCCACCCTTCCCCGCCTCCCCTTTAGCCCCTAAGTCCTACCAAAATATCTCAGTAACAGTGGTTTGAGGGCGGCAGGGACAAGGCGGAGAGAGACAGGAGGCAGAGAGAGAGAGAGAAAAAAAAAAAATTAACTCTCTCTCTCCCCCCCCTCCCCCCCCCCCCCCCCCACCAACCAATTGCCAGTCCTCTTTTCTTTTCGTTCTAATTTCCCAGTGTTCTTCTTCCCAGCCAGGAATCTCCATTCTTTGTAGTTTGAGTCTGTCGCAAAAATTTTTCAAATCTTCTGGGAACCTAAGATATGCTGTAATTCCATTTCTCCATCCTATTAGGCACTCAGGGGTCCCCCATCTATATTGCACCTTTTGTTCTTTCAATCTTTCCAATAGAGGTCTAAGGGTTCTCCTTCTCCATAGAGTCTCTGGTGACAAGTCCGCATATATCTGTAATTCCTTTCCTTCATACATAATTACTGCTTTTCCCTTTATCCTCTTCCAAATTTTATCTTTATCTAGGAATTCACAAAATTTGACAAGTATATCTCGTGGCCTATCCTTTCCCGAATTTCCTTGGAGTTTTCCTTGTCTAAAAATTCCTTCTATTTTAGTTTTTTCCATATTAGTACTGTCCATTATGGAGTTTAATATTTTACAGACCATCTCTTGCAAATTTTCTCCTTTTGAGTTCTCTGGGACCCCACGTATCCTAATATTTCTCCTCCTATTCCTATTTTCTTGTATCTCAGCCTTATAAAGCAGTTTTTCTTGGGCTTTCCCCATGTTAATTATTTCTTTTTCCAATTCGGCAATAATTTGGGACTGATTTTTGACTTTTTCCTCAGTTTCTTCCACTCTCACCAAGAGGTGTCCCAAATCATTTCGAATATTTACAATTTCTTGTTTTATTGTTTTCTCCAGATCTTTGAACATTTCTGCCATTTCTTTTTTGTTTGGTATTTGTAGCTCTGTCTCCATCTCTATATTAGCCGGTATTTGTTGGCTGCTAATGTCAAGGCCTAGTGATAGTCTAGGGCTACTTTCCAGGCTTAGATCTACTTCACCTTTTCCACTTTTGCCCTGAGACCTTTCTGGGGTTTATATTTCCCTGGGAAGTGTATTTTTTGATAGTACCAGTCTGAGTCCCTTTTAGCCCACTTCCTTTTGCGCTTTTATTTTTCATTCTCCTATTGCTCTTATTCTTCCTTATAGGCTCAGGGGTTAAGGAGAGATAACTATTAATATATACGTCACCACTTATCCACTCATTTGATTTTCAAATTTTTCATTCGTCTTTCCTCTTCTCCTTTTTTCACTGCTTTACATTTCCCACTCAAGGGGATCCCCTCTCTTCTCTCACACACTGCCTCTCCCAACAGCCCACAAGAAGCACGTAATTTATTGAGACTCGGTCAGAGTCACTCACCCTGCTCGTATCTCTCTTCTTTTCGGGGCCCGACCAGCATTTCTCTCTGTCCTTCAGCTGGGCAGTGTGTTCGTTTTAGGGGTTTCTCCAGAGAAGTCGTCCTCCTTTCTCTCTCCAATCCCTCGTGTCTCTCCTCCTTCAGAAGCAGGACTCAGAACATTGGGCCATCCAGCAGGGCCCCAAACAACGGACCGACCAGCACGTCCCCCAACAGTCCAGCAACGGTCAAGGTCCCAGCCAACAAGCCGGCAGACAGAGCTCCGGGTAGAAACCGGCTGACAGGACTCTGAGCACTGGGCTAGGATGCGGAGCTCCGAGCAGTGAGCCTACCAGCAGGGCACCAGACTATCGGCACTAAAACAGGGGACCAGGCACTGGGCCGGCAGCCGTGTTCCCAGGGGTAGGTCCGCAAGCCGAGCAGCTCCTCTCTCTCCGCGCCAAACACCGGCCGGCTTCCTGGTTTCCCAGTGATGCTTAGCGGCCGGTCACGTGGCTACCCCGCTCCACCTTCTCTCCCCGCAGCCCGACACACCTTCACCCCGAGCACCGGAGCCGGGTCCCTTCTCACGGATCAGCTCTCCCGCAGGGCTCCTCCATCCATCCAAGGGGGACCACCGCACCGCAGCTCCACATCACAGGTAGGGGTTTGGGGAGGTGGGTGAAGGAGCTTATCCGAGAGCTCCTACATCGGGCTCTCGTCAGCCGCCATGGTTAGGACGCAGTCAACTTTATTTTTCCTACACACATAAAACCATATGTTATGAAAACGTTGCTAAACGCAGTGTGTGAATGGAGCCATAGGGATGCATTGTCTGCATTTAGCTGCAGTAAGTTCCTCTAACCACAGCTAAAAGTTGAAATCTAACCACCCGTGTGAAAGGAAACCGGATTGCCCGGAGAAAACTCACACAGGCAGAGGGAGAACATGCAAACTCCAGGCAGCCAATGCTGTGGTTGGCATTAGAACTGATGACCCTAGTGCTGTTAGGCAGAAATGCTAACCACTTAGCAACTGTGCTGCCAATTAGTTATATTGGTCTAAAATGTCCCATTTAACATCAGGGTACACTTTTTAGCAATGGGCTGTATATTGCAAAGATCCATCCAATGATCACCTATAACAGCAGCAATGTGGCAATGATGGTCAATATGATAACAATGATACAGTAAAGAGGTTACAAGGAAAGTACTACACAAATTTCCAAACCTTGGTGTTAGAGCCGATGGCTTATCGTTCAAGAGAAGCAATCCCCAAAATCTGTTCCACTATGTCCACATCGTCCTCAGGTTAACGTTAACACCTTCTTGTTCACCACACAGAAACATCCATTCTATATACTATAATTTAAACAGGCTTCAATGTCCATTGTGAGTATGGACCAAGATGGATATTGTTAGGTACGGTTCACAACCTAGTTTCCTAGCACATTGGCTAAGTGGTTAGAACTTCCGCCTAGCAGCACTAGGGTTGTTGGTTGCAATCTCAACCATGGCACTACCTGTGTGGCGTTTGCATGTTCTCCCTGTGCCTGCGTGGGTTTCCTCCGACACTCCAAAGACATACTGATAGGTTAATTGGCTCCTGTCTAAATCGGCCCTAGTATGTGTATGTATGAATGTGAATTAGGGACCTTAAATTGTAAGCTCCTTGACGGTTAGGGACTGATGTGAATGTACAATATATGTAAAGACCTGCGTAAATTGACGGTGCTATACAAGCACCTATAATAAATAAAATAATATAAGAAGATATCTGCATTTGTAACTTCTATCCAATTTTCTACTGAAATCCAAATGTCACATATAGATTAGACGCTTACAAGCATGTTAGACATTGTAAACTAAACTGGTCCATACCTTTTGTATTTTATTGTCCCTTAAAAAAAAAAAAGCAGTGCACTTCCTGTTCCTTGCAACTTCACTCAATACAGAGTAATAGCCGATTATGTATAGTCACTATTGTCTGATGGCTAGTCTCACAAAATCTGGAATGAGATTTGGTGATGTTACTCCTCTACTGCTACAGCACAGGAAGCTGCACACCAAGGCTATTAAGTGCAAGATCTCCCTGCTTTTGCGGTGTATGATCTAAGGAAGTGCTTTATAAAACTAATTTGCACCTTCTGGAATATTCCCTCACCAATCTGTTATAGGATATTTTCACACTGATCTGCAGCAAAAACGCATTTCAATAGGGAGGTGCGTTTTTTTACTGCACCAAACCTACACCAAAAATGCAGCAAGCAGGAATTTGAATAACACACTGGACCCACACGGATCAGTGTGTAGAGTTCCATATGAATACATGGTTACACGTTTTTCTTCAACTTGTTTTTAAAAGCAAAAGCGGAAGAAAAAAGGATTAGTGTGAAAGCAGCCTTAGAAATGACTAGCAACTTTGGCAACTATTAACTGCACCTTCACTTGCCTTTTCTGGGCACAGCTTCCTGAGTTCAGCTCTTCTATAAATATTTTCTTTATAAAGCATCATTATACAATCTGATTATGGGTTTATTTTTGTAATTACCTGAGCTGCAAAATGAATTATATGAGAAGAAAAAATATACATACAATATATATATATATATATATATATATATATATATATATATATATATATACACATATACACATATATACACATACATACATACATACACACCAAACCGTACCTTTTGGATGCATGATAAAGAGGAATGCACAGTTTTTGTTGAATAGATTTCCCTATAACATCCTGCAAGACAACAAATACTTTGGTATGTTGCATCACATTTCAGCAAAAAAGCAGAATACATAGATACACTGACTCACAGCGGGTTTTGCCAGACATCTATCAATAACCACCTCCATTTGCCTTTTCACAAAGTGAAGTGACTTTTCTACATAGGAAGGAAACAGTAGTGGGCTTTCTAGAAGGAAGGAAAAGCAGCATTAGGTCCGCATTACAATACAGATCAATAATAGACAAAAATAATTATTCAAAAATTATTACTGTAGTGTATGTTTAAAAGGATGCACTTGGCATAAATCTCCAACTTCTGCTAATCTCCACTTTCCAACTGCTAGGAACAAAAGGGTATACTAAGATGAATGGTTGCCTTATGCAGCTGCAAGTTAGATTTAACCTTTTAGTTGGCATAACATATTTGTCACCATCTACCTAGGAAAGGAACTAATTTACAAATGGTTTTTGTACCAGATGTGCATACTTATTTAAATCTGGTATCCTGTAACCCCGTATGTCTATGAGTGCATTAAATGCAGCAAAGCGGTCTCCTGAGAACACCTGAATATGAGCATTACACGTTGGATATGGTGGCTGTCTCACATGCCAAGTTTGGAGCTAGAGTCTCAAATTCTATCATTTCTCCTGTCTAGTAAAGCTGTTTTTCAGGAACACCTTCCCCTTTCGATCATTTATTGCTATGCAGTTCCCAGATACATAGTTAGTCTGGCTGAAAAAAGACAAAAGTCCATCCAGTTCAAACATTAAAAAAAAAAAGTTATAATCCTATACCCACAATTGATCCAGAGGAAGGCAAAAAAGCCCAGCAAATCATAATCCAATTTGCTCCTGTGGGAAAACAAATTCCTTGCTGATGATCCCCCAAGAGGCAGTCAGATATTCCCTGGATCAACTTTAACTATAAATGTTAGTATCCAGTTATATTTTGTGTATCTAAAGAAAGAATCCAGGTCTTTTTTAAAGCAATCCACTGAGCTGACCAGAAACAACTCTTGAGGGACTCTATTCCACATTTTCACAGCTCTCACTGTGAAGAAACCTTTCCGTGTTTGGAGATTGAATTTCTTTTCTTCCAGATGTAAAGAGTGCCCCCTTGTCCTCTGTGATGAGCTCAGGGTGAATAGCTCTACACCGAATTCACTATATGAACCACTGATCTATTTAGACATGTTGATCATGCAGTTGTGAGACTACTGGAAAACTCCTATCAAATACTTACCAAAGTTCTCCTTTATTGGTGCCTCACCATGTCACATCTATTACCCTAGCAGGTAGTTTGGATCATTGGACTAGGTTATCGACATGTCAGCTGTGGGTGAGGCTCACGTAGTTGTGGGGAGATGGTCAGGCAGCAGGAAAGGAAAATGTTGGTAAGTAACTGAAAGGAATTTTCCATTTCATACATGGTTACAAATATTATTATTATTATATAGCACCAACAGTTTGCACAGATTTTACAATGTAAAAGGAAACGGTACAGTTACAATACAATTCAATACAAGGGGATTAGGAGGGCCCTGCTCCTGAAAGCTTACAATCTTAAAGGGAGGGTCAACTGATAGAAAAAGGTATTAACTGTGAGGAATGAGCCAACGGAAGAAGTAGGAGCATAGTTTATTTTTTTAGCACATTAATATATATATTTCATTTTTATGTCTTTTCAATAACAAGGCACATAGAAAATCATTACGGTAGAGTTTCCTTAATTATTTCATCTAAAAAAAAAAAAAATCTATAAAAAGGCTCCTGAACAAATTATACTGTATATCGACTTCAGCTCTCACACCGGTTCACCCTCTATAGACCAAAGCAATTTTTAAATTTCTGCTATGTGCCTGTTTATTTGGTGATAACGTTGTCATTAGTTAAGATAAAAATGTAATACATACAGTGGATATAAAAATCTAGACACCCCTGTTAAAATGTCAGGTTTCAGTGATGTAAAAAAATGAGACAAAGATAAATCATTTCAGAACTTTTTCCACCTTTAATGTAACCTACAAACTGTACATATTCAATAGAGAAGATGGGACTTTCAGGGTGCATGAACATGAATACCAAACATATTAAAATGTTATATAATTTTTATTTCGTATTTTTGTAAAAAAACACAAGAAAGGAAAAAATACAGAAACATAAAAACAATTTCAGTTCTAAGAATACAATTGAGATTCAAACTTGGTTATGTAGTTACTCCCTACATGTTTCGCCCTCACGGGCTTCTTCAGGGGAGATTTTTTTTTAAAGAAAAGGCAGTTCTGGATGTGAAAGCTCACAGAGCTAGAAGAAAATGACCCAAAAAAAAGATCTTAATTGGCCTACACGTCCAGAACAGTTGTAGAGGATATAATGGGCATCAAATATCATCTGTTAAATGCTTTAGAAGGCTATATAAGTATAACCTAACAAAGATCTATTTGACCTATACGACCACAACCATAGGAGAGGAAACAATGGACATCAAACATCCATCTGTTGAAATTGCAAATTGAAGAAATAGGGATCCCTGTTGACAAAGTCCGGATGTGACGAAACGCGTCCGGGGCACGTGACGTGGTGACGTAGTGACGCTCTTCCGGAAGTGCGGTGACGGCCATTTTTGATCCTGGTACATGCGGCTGTGGCTTCCTGGAATCCTCATGGGGTTTTGAGGTATTGGGTACCTACCACAGGCAATCTGTTCCCCCTCGGGAGTGGGATGGTGTGGATACCTACACACTTGTGAGGAGAGGCAGGATTGTGAACAAATCGTTTTTGGTGTGGAAGCTGATGTCATCTTATTTGAATGTAAGTTGCTACAATAAAGTGCTATAAGCTTTTATGATACATATTGATCCCTGGTCTGTTTATGAGGTCTGTGGGAAGTGGCTGGAAAGGCTGAAGGAATATTAAAAGGTTGGAAAGAAGTACTCAGACCCTTGATACCATTCTGAGGGTAACTATGCACTTCCTCTATTGGTATGCAGTGGATTGATTCCTAAGGCTGAGGGATTTCTCTTCACGGTTGTGGTGGCACGTCAATTTTTTGTGTGCATGAAACACGTGTGGCACGTTTTATATACCCCTCTTTTTGAAGATAATACACATGTTGAGTTTTTTCCTTTGAGGTATATGAAGATCTATTTTGAAGTATATCACAAAGATGTTTGAAGATATGAAGAATTAAGATATTACAGATAAAGATTTTTTCTTGAAGTAATATTTTTTTTGGGACTTTATTTTGGACTTTGGGTTTTTGATGTTTTTTGGTTTTGGACTTTATTTATACACTTTTATTAGAGGGTAAATCAAGTTTTACTGAAAGATTTATTTGATGATATTTGTACTTCAGGGGAAGGATTGTGATAGTGACTTGGTGGGGATTCTACTTGTAAAAGGATAGTGCTATATGTAGAATAATCATCCCTGCTGCTTGTGCCCCTTTTTCTTCCACGCTTTTCCATTCCACATAACTTTCTATTAATGTGCTTTGATACAGCACTTTGGGAACATCCTACTTCATTTGCAATTACCTTTTTGAGGCTTTCGCTCCTTATGGAGGGTGTCAATTATGGTTTTCTGCACAACTGTCAGGTCTTTCCCATGATTGTGATTCCTACTGAACCAGACAGAGACCATTTAAAGGCTCAGGAACCCTTTGCAGGTGTTATGGATTAATTAGCTGATTAGAGTGGGACACTTTGGGCCTAGAATATTGCACCTTTTCACAATATTCTAATTTTCTGAGATTGTGGATTTGGGGTTTTCATGAGCTGTAATCTATAATCATCACAATTATGACAAATCACGGCTTGAACTATCTTGCTTTGCATGTAATGAGTCTCATATATTAGTTTCACCTTTTAAGGTGAAATCAATAAACTTTGGCATGATATTCTAATTTTTCGAGTTTCACCTGTATATGTGTGTGTGTATATATTGTGACAGTGTGGCGATCTGTCACCCTGGATTCTCAACAAGGCAGGTTGAGGGGCTCCAGGGTATGTGTTTGATACGGAGGAAAGTGGCTTTTCACTTTCCTCCTTTGTTTGTAAAGTCTGTTTTGGGATCTGGAGCCTGGAGATTTCAAAGAGATCTGGGAGGGATGAAATCTCCAATCCTGGGACCAGGTTTTGGGAATGGCCAGGAGACTGATTGCACAGGTGTGTGCAGGCCTTTAGAGAGAGTCAGGACCACGGTTCTGGGCTCCACCCCGGCAGCTAGGAGTCGGCAGGGCTCCACCCCGGCAGCTAGGAGTCAGGTGGGCTTCACCTAGGAGAGGTGGAAGCCAAAAGCAGCAAGGGGCTGCTAGAGACTAGCTGTGTGCTAGTGGCTATAATTTGGGAAGAGTCTGCAGGAGACAGACATTGAACTGTGTGTAAGCCAGGAGGCTGAATCTTTGTTTTGTTGGTGGATACCCCTGCGTGGGAAGCATTATGTTTGAACTTTCATTTAAATAAAAGTGGGCTAAAAAGGCCCTGAAAAAGAAAGCGAGTAGCTGTTTGTGTTTGAAAGCTCTACCACGTTGAAGCGAGTTCCCCCATATATATATATATATATATATATATATATATATATATATATCTTAGTTACATCTTTTTTTCTGTAAATATTTTTATTGCACCCGTTTGACCTTAGTAATAAATCTTTCTTTCTGAAAGTGTTGAACTGTTTCTATAGCTCTGTATTGCAATTTACGAATCCCTGCCTCTAAAGAGAACGCTACTGTTTGTTTAACCCTCTGTATAACAGGCCTGTGTTATGACCGTTTTATAGAAATGATTATGTCAATCATCATCGTGTTAAAGCTGATAACGCAGAGTTTCCTCTTTCTCTGTACAAAAAGGAGGTGGTGGCAGTGTGAAGGGTTAATTGCGTAATTAAGCTGACCCAGTAACAATCACCCAGGCTGCAGGTACATCGATTGTGGTCCATTAGCTGGAAAATCGTTGTGCAGGGTGCAGCTGGGTGTGGCATTGTTACACACGTCACATCGCAGTTTTAGATCGGCTAGTCCTTCGGTCACGAGTTTGGGTGAGAAGGTCTGGGGCCTGACGCTGCGATCATGGAAGCAGCGATCTTGGGATCGTGACAACTACTATAATGAAAAGCTGACAGGACATGACTCATTAAGGGAGGGAGCAATACAGGTGGGACTTCAGCAAAGCTGGCTTGAATAGATCA